TATATATATATATATATATATATATAGGGTAGGGTTACAATACATCTAGGGTGTAACTAACTTAGCTACACCCACCTGTAAAAGCACATGTTTGAGCTTCGATATTAACGATCAATACCGTTCATTATGATCTACATGTCAGCAAATGAGTGTATATTAAGTATCATGCTTTTTAAGATTTTCTATCCTATAATTCAAACAACTCAAAATAGCATGCATTTTAGACCATTACAGACCGTTCATTTCTAGGCCACTAGAAGTGTAAACTAGAAATATCTTATCTATGTGATATTTTTTATCTCCATGGAATTTTGGACACATAGATCATAATGAACGGTATTGATCGTTAATATCGACGCTCAAACATGTGCTTTTATAGGTGGGTGTAACTAAGTTTGTTACACCATATATATATATATATATATACTAATTATTGTGCACATGCAATGGCATGTGTTAAATATCAAAATTATTTATTATTGTTTATTTTTTTACTATAAAATAAGTCAGATTCATTTTGAGCTAAAATCTATAATATGGATTATTACATTTGCCATAAATTTTATTTAAACATTTTAAAAAAAAATTATGCCGTAATGACAGGTCAAATTTAGAACTTCTTGATCCCAATAACAATACGTGGCAATCATCAGGAATATAAACATGTTCAAAAAAGTAATTAGATCAAGAAATTAAGCAAAAGATATGCATTTTTCTTCACATGTACAGCAAACATCTTATTCCTTATGAATAAAACATACACACTACACATTCTGTCAATATATAATATTGAATGTAATGTATTCAGAATAATGATCAAGTAAAAAAAAAAAGAAAGAAAGAAAAAGAAGAGCAAGACCTGAAACAGAACTATTGCATTCTTAAATGGGATCTCAGCTTATTTAGAGTAGAATTCCCCAATTTAAAATATTATCCACGTCCATCACCATCACATGAAACTCATTGAAGTTCCTGATCACCAATTCTCATCCCACCTGGAAAAAAATACATCAATAATCGCAATAACAATTTCACTAAATAAACTCAATTGAGTTTAAAATTCACCAATCTTCTGTTCAGGTTAGCTTTAGTACTTTACGAACTATCCCCCTCCATGCGTAGACTGTTGTTAAGAAACTAAAGGAAAAGAAAAAACATCAGATCAGATCTGAGGGAAAAATTAAGCCAAAAAAATAATTCATAGGCAAATTCACAAATGAATTTGAATCCAAAAAAATAATCAATATTATCAATTAAACTAAAAATAAATAAAAACAATAAGAAAAAAATGTTGGGTATCAACTCAAACTCCAAGTTAGTATAGTGTTTTTAATACTTTGTAGAACTTCATGAGAATTAGATAGGGTTAGAGATCTATCATGATTAGGAGTTTGGGTTCCATCATGATTAGGAGTTTGAATCTTATTCTAATTAGAAAGTTAGGCTAGAGATATGGTTTTATTTTTCCTATATATGTCCTTCTATTGTTAGAGGAAAAACTAAGAAGAAGAAGTGTAGAGAGAAAGAGGGAGACAGAGTTTGACAGTCTATGTCCGTGCAAAAGATTGTAATTTGGAGGTGATAGCGGATTGATTTTGATCTCATGGTTTTTTCCTGTTGAGAATTTTCCACGTTAAATCTTGCATGATTTTATTTGTTACATTTGGTGGCTTTTCAGAGTTTTTGCGAGATCTTAAAAATCCCTACAAGTGGTATCAGAGCGGGGTTCGACGGTTCGTAGAGGTTTGATCGGTGCGCGATTCGTGAAGGCATCAGCGGTCGAAGTGCGATGACCGACATCGTGAAAAAAAGGTTACTGCAGTGACGATATTGTAGCGGGAATACTGTAGCAAGCACTGTTCACACAGATCCGACGGTTGAGGTTGATTTGTCTTTTGATCGAGGATTTAGAGGCGGATTTTAGTGATCAAAGAGTCGTTTCTAGGGTTTTTCGATGTGCTGAGTTCGTTTTTTATGTTGGTTTTATCAAATTCAATCTCTTCAGTGACTGATTTGAATTTTGATTGCGGTTAGAGAATGATGACTTCTTTGGATCCGAAGTTTGATATTCCGCTATTCAATGACAAGATAAATTTTACAGTATGACAGTATACGGTTCAAGATATTCTTGTATAGCAGGGTGTTGATCAAGATTTAGAGGATAAGAAACCTAAAGGATTGAAGGATGCTGAATGGAGTTCTATGCAAAAGAGGGCAGTTAGCACAATTCATTTAGCACTCGCCCCCGAGATCAAGTACAATGTTATGCAAGAGACCACACCAAGAGGGCTGTGGGAAAGGCTCGAGGGAATTTATGAGTCGAAGTCGATGACCAACCGATTATGTTTGAGGATGGAGCTTTATTCGTTAAAGATGGAAGAAGGTACTGTAATTCTAGACCACATCAATGCCTTTAATCAGCTAGTTTGCTAACTTATGAATATTGACGAGGAGATTAAAGAAGAAGAGCAAGCGCTACTCCTATTGTCTTCCTTGCCGAAGTCGTACAAGCCGTTAGTTCAGACGATAATTGCATGGTAGCAGACTTTGAAGTTCGACGATGTGACAGCACTCCTACATGAGAATGAAAGAATAATGAGAAAGGAGAGCGCATCTAATGGTGGTAAGAATGCACTAGCTTTTGAAGGTTCTAATCGAGAGAGGTGTACAGGAAGATGTGACAGTTATCGAGGAAGGTCAAAATCTCGGGACCGAGACGATAGCGAAAAGGAGTGCTATTATTACGGAGATGTTTTCGTCAAAAGTTGGTCTCGTTGTGAAATTCATTATATCTTCGGTCGATTATAACAAATTCAAAAGAAATAGTCTTTTTATAAGACTTCTTTTACGATTATAACAAATTCAAAAGAAATAGTCTTTTTATAAGACTTCTTTTACACAACAAAAGGAAAATTACAATTTTTTAGAAACAAACGCAGGATCGTCTT